CATTAAATACCCGGGAACTGCGCATGGGGACGCCACTGAGACGTGGCATGGGGGCGAGGAAACCTTGAGGCGTGGGTGCTCCTATGAGGAGCCACGTGGCAAGCAACAGCCACGTGGTTCTATACGTGCTTGAATAAACAGAAGAGAGAGAGAGAAGAGAAAGAGAGAGAAAGAGATAGAGAGAGAGATAGAGATAGAGAGATAGATAGATAGATAGATAGAGAGTGTGACAAAGAGAGAGAGAGAGAGAGAGAGAGAGAGAGAGAGAGGGGAGAGAGGAGAGAGAGGGAGGGAGGGAGGGAGGGAGGGAGAGAGAGGGAGGGAGGGAGAGAGAGGGAGGGAGGGAGAGAGAGGGAGGGAGGGAGAGAGAGAGAAAAAGAGAGAGAGAGAAAGAGAGAGAGAGAGAGAGAAAGAGAGAGAGAGAGAGAGAGAGAGAGAGAGAGAGACAGAGAGAGAGAGAGAGAGAGAGAGGGAAAGAGAGAGTGGACAGGCTATTAATTGACCTTAAACATTGGTGAACAGGAGTAGTAATAGGGGACGATGGCTTGACTCTTTTATATTCTAAGAGCACAACACACAGAGATATGAATACACACGATTGACAATCTTGGGTGACCGCCAGTAGCCGTAGGCCCAGGGGGACCTAACTTGACCCGACAGGTGCTGGCGACTGACTTTGGTGACCGGGTCAAACGTAGACCTTAAATATCCAAGAACTGCACGTGGGGGGGATAGGGAGCGCTCACCCGCGTTGGCACGCCACGTGGCCAGATTTGGCGTGGGGACGGCCACGTGGCCAACGAACCGCTACGTGGCCTATACATGCTTAATACACAGTAGAGAGAAAGACAGACAGATAGATAGAGAGAGAGAGTAAGAGAGAGAGAGAGAGAGAGAGAAAGAGAGAAAGAGAGAGAAACCGTGTGAGAGAGAGTGTAAAAGGCTATTGGATGACACCTTAAACGTTAGTTTGCAGGGGTAGTCATAGCCGTATAACGGCTTGACTCTTTATTTCGGAAGAGTACAACAAGTGATAGTAACACACGAGACGAGTCTTGGGTAAGTGCCGAGTGCAGGGGGGGTCGGAGCCTGCGGGAGCTAGGGCATGTCTGGTGAGGCCAAAGGTCAGATAACTCGTCAGCTACTCCTCGCTAAAGCAATGGTTCTCCCTTGAACCTCGAGCCACGTGGCAAACAGCCACGCGGTCTATGGCTAATGTCATACACATATCGTGGTTATGTACACGGTATATTGCTGAGCTACCTACTAACTCATTGCCCTCGAGGCATCTTTGGTTTGCCTCAAGGGTGACCCAACTTGGCTGGTCATGACTTGCTGGTCACTTCGTTCTCGCATGCGTTGATCCTGGTGCATCTTCGTGGTTGCTCGTCCTTGTCGTCTTCTTCATCCTGGCCCTTGGTAAATCCGTCCATCCTCGACGTCCACACGTCCTCGAAAGTGTCGCATAAGTCCTCCTAGACTTCGGATTCGTCCAGACTTCCTCGTAGTCCTCGTCCAGGCCTAACTCGGCGGCGTACTCGCCCTATGCACGTCCTCGCAGATTTCGTCCAGGTGCTCGGCTGCGCGCTTGTCCAGATGTCCTCGTAATCTTCGTCTGTATCTACGGGCGTCCGGACAGGAAGCGTCCTCTTCGGCATCTCAGGGCGGCTAATACCTGCGCTGACGAGCTCCTGGAGTTTGACCGGATCTGCGGGCGTCCAGGCAGGCGGCGCCCGTCCACAGTATCATGGGGCGACTGGTATCTGTGCTGACAAGTTCCTGGTCCCTCGCTGGATCTACGGGCGTCCTGGCAGGCGGCGCCCTTCCACATCCTAGGGCGGCTCAATATCTGCTCTGACGAATATCCTGGTCTCCAGGCTTCTGGTGATCCTCCGATAACGTCCTTCCCAAAGCATCCTAAGCTGATCGTTTCTGCAGCAGGGTCCTCCTTCGGAGCCGTGTCAGATATCGGTGAACCAGATTATACATGTAAGGGCCAAGATAGTAAGAGAAAAGAAAGACAACAGAGAAGGAGGTGTTAAGTGCCACCTAGCTGATTATTTTTAGAATTTGCAGTTTTTAATGTTCGTCTTTTTTTTCATTTTGTGTTTTACTTCCGTAAAGTTAAAGAAGAGAATAAGAGAGGGAGACGTCAGTAGCGATCCGCCAAGACCTGGCTTGAACTACCAACCGTCTCTGATAGATATGAGAGTAAATAAAGGAAACGACAACGGCAATCCGCAAGGATTTACTTGAACCAACTGTCGCAATACAGAGAAGAAATGTATGTAAAATAAGAATATATGTACTAGTCACTCATCACGACTGACAAAATCGCGGGCAAAAGATATACGTCAGATCTTTACGCCTGCAAATACAACAGCAACAAACTCTATTAATAGAAGGTTTCAGTGTCTTTTGTTCTGTGTGGATGAGTGAGTGAGCGTGTGTGTGTGCGTGCGTGAGCGACAGGGAGCGTTAATGTT